TTACTACACATGTGGAGTGGAATAAATATTTTATCATATTTCGGTAACCCTCTTGGAGTTTTTGAATCCACGTGGGAACACATTCAGACACTGCTACCACTTCACCATTGTCCATTTTTGTCTTTTATCATGTTTTTGATTTTTTTACAAGATAATAATAAATAAATGCAAATAATAAATAAATAAATAAAAGATACAGGTATCTCTGTGGGGGCCCTCTCCCAAGCTAGCTCAAGGTCTATGATCCTTCGGCTGCTTTTATTATAATGAAGAGGCAAACTCGAGGGCCAAATTAATTAATTTATTTATTATATATATATATATATATATTATTTTTATCACAATTAATGCCTTGATAAATTATGCTAGATTTAATTTCATAAACTTTAGTTTTATCATTTAGAATTTCTAAATTTAGCAACTCTTATTATTATTAGTAAATAAGTTTTTTTTGTCATGGTTATAAAAGATAATCTATCAATTTTAAATATGATATACTGAATTTGAATAATATTTAGGATTTTAAATATATGATAACTACCGATTTACCTTCGGCAAGGGCTCATCTTTTAAAGTCCAATTAGCAGGACTCTTCTCCTTTTATTTCTTGCTTGATGACGAGGCATCCGGTCCAAGAGAAGTAGACATGGATGACTGTACTTTCTTAGGTTTCCACACCATTTTGTTGGTCTTTGGTGGTATGGCGGTGGGCTTCAGAGCATCCCCTTTGGTGTCCACACTATTTTATTTTTCTTGGGTAGTGAGGATATGGGCTTTGGAGTTTCTACTTTGGGATTTGTTTGGCTTTTTGCTCTGACCTCTTTTTGATTTCCTTGTTCTTGTTTATGAGTGTCTGATTAATCGCTGGCTTGGAAAACTTTCCTTTTTGCACCGGCGAAGAACACGCCGGGGAGTCCTAAGATTAGAATGAGAATTCTTCGGATTTGAGGATCCAAGAACAGGAGAAAGTGCCTTCACAGTCCTAGAACAAATAGGAGAATTCAAATAATTGACATGATAATTCTCCGGATAACTTAAATGAAGAAAAACTGGCTTTTTTGCAATCGGAGCCGAGCGAACAACCTCAGCATAGCTCTTATTCGACTTAGATTTTGAACCATCGATTGTCCATTCGACGTCTTGCTCAAAGCACCAAAGGTCATATTCCTTACGCCAGTTAGGACCTCCTCCACCCCAAAGGTAGAAGAAAATGGCAAAGGCTTTGCAAGAGAAGCTTTTAAGTTTGTAAACCATGAGACCAACATCTTTGCAAGTGACCAAAAGAGAGAACATCCAGCCCGAGAGATGAATCACATTAAAATCTCTAGCAATACCACCAAGGCATGCTTGAAGGATTAAGCCAACTGATTCCACATTTAGGCGAATAGAAGAACGCCCAAAACTCAAAACCAAGTGGAAAGCCAAATGGGAGAGGGCTGGTGGACTCACCGAGCAACCAAAACGCTGAGAGACCAAGGAGGCAAACTTGATTCCCGGATCGAAGCATAGATCCAAAAGGCCCGCCATGAGTGGTTGGATTAGTGAGAACTAGCCCTGGGCATTCGGTTCTACCAAATCAAACCGATCGGTTCTTCGGTTTTTGAAGAAGTTCGGTTCTCAAAAAACCAGTACCGATCGGTTCTTCAAAAAACATGGAACCGACCAAGTTCGGTATCGGTTCTTTCGGTTCGGTTCCGGGTAGAACTGAAAAACCGAACAGTACCCAAAATCCATGTAACAACATGTTCAATAGCAAATTTTGACAACATTTCAGCAGGATTGCATACAAAACCACAGTGACAAATATAACAGTCAAACAGAGTAACAAATACATAAAATAGAGTGCTAACTTCTAAAGCAAGGCATCAGCATTTAGCAAGAGTGCAAGACACTAAGACAGCACACTACTACACTATTTTCCGTTCCTCGGTTAGTTCGGTTAACCGAGGGGGGGAACCGATTTTACCGAACAAATTTTGGTTCCTCGGAAATGAGAACCGAACAGGGAACCGAGACTTCGGTTCTCGGTAAATTCGGTTTGGTTCTCGGTAAAATTTGCCCAGGGCTAGTGAGAACCGCCATGGTTGGAGGGGTTTGCGGTGGAGGGGGCGGTGGGGGAGGAGGGAGCAGTGGGAGGGAGAAGGGTCACCATAACTTCTCTATATCAGCTGACGGTTGGCCTCATTCCGTTCCTTCTAACAATTTTCCCCAACAAAATTTTATGAATATGTGTGAAAGCAGTTTTGGTGGGTGAATAGTTTCCATAACCAAGAAAATAGATAGTATTTTTTTAGAATGTTTTATGCCACATTAATTATAAGGAAATAGTAATTTATATACAAATTTACAAAGTTAAAACACAAATCTAGTTGTAAATCCAAATTGAAAATTTCGGAAGCATGTAGTATCTCATACTTTCCAATTTAAGATTTATATTGGAGTTATATGTTTAAATTTTGAAATCTATAACTTTTAAGTAAGTGCATGTAAATTCAATCTACTAAAAGATAAAAACAATTTTTTGAAGTTGTGATTATAAATTTATGATTCAAAATTACAGTTTAACTATATCAATTATGTAGAAATTTAAAGTCAATCTGATTTCCAACAATTTAAAATATGAACTGTTCATTAAATATTAATATAAAAACTCATATTTGAAAAAAAGGTTCCAAATTCAAATTGTCAAAAATTGTATTGAAAATGTACAATTTGAGGATTTGAATTTTAAAAAAACAAGTATTGAGTTTCTAAAACAAAATTAATAATTTATAATAAAAATATCCAAGTTGGTAGCATATATTCCAATTCAGGATCAAGGTGCAGCAACAACAATTCCTTTGTTCCGATAAAAAAAACAACAATTCCTTTGTTCCAGTAATGAAGGATAGACGCCTTCTTTATGGGAAGCAAATTACTGGAATTTGTTGTGTAGAGATTTCTTGATTTGTTCGTAATTGATTCATCAAACACTGTGATCCTTATTTTTACAAGAAGATTCCTTGTAATGTAAAGGGAATTTCTCTAACTAAATGCCTATTAATGCAATCAGCATCATGTAAACAAAACCTTCAGGCTTCAGCTCTGTTGTGTGTATATTCATCAATGCTTCACCTAGTCATCACTACTTGCGATATCTGCATTTAGTACCTGTTCACAGCCACAATGAGATAGAAGGAAAGTTCATTGTACTCTGCCTGCAGATCCTTGAACTCCAACAACCTCAGCGGTGCCACCCCCACCATCTCTAGGCAGCCTATCAAAGCTATACTGGCTTGATCTGGCTGACAATAAACTCACCGATGGACTTCCCATATTTGATGGGACAAACCTTGGGTTGGATAATCTGACAAATACAATGCACTTGTAAGTGAATTCTTATTAAATCCTGGTATATGTTTTTTTTCCTACCGCTGATGATGAAATGTGCGTGCACCTCTCACCCCTCCGGTGTTGTCTTCAAAAAAAAAAGTGCGTGCACCATTTTGTTGCAGCCACATGGGGGCCAATCAGCTTTCAGGCACCATACCTGTCCACATTTTCAACTCACATATGAGCCTGATCCATGACTAACCCTGACATTCTCCTTTTCTGAATCTGAAACGGTGACTGATTTGTTACATGTATTCAGACTTCTTGATAACAACAACTTCTCAGGCAGCTTTCCATCTACTTTAGGTCTCCTTAATACTCTAGAAGTTCTGTAAGTACTTCACCTACATAATCATGATTGAGGAAAACAATTGTTTAACTTGTTAAAAAAACATAATGAAAATTTAGTTATATGGTTTTATGGTTTGCGTCTGATCATGAAATTTTATTGCTGCAGGCGTTTTGATAACAACAATTTGACTGGGCCAGTTCCAGCAATTGTTGTTACGACAAGCTTACTGGCAGCAAACATAAACAATCTCACCAAGCTTGCAGAACTGTAAGTGCAGTACACTTTCGATCATTATCAATTCCACTTTTTTTATGCAGGGTAAGCTTACGACACTGTATTATCTTTTTTTTTCATCTTATCACTAGCCATCTACAAAACAACCAGCTTACTGGCCCACTGCCAAATTTAACTGGAATGATTTCGCTCAGCTTTGTGTAAGTACGAATTCACCTTTTCCATTTTGAAATAAGACATGAGCATCCAGCTTCTGAATCTTTTGCAATTTTTACAGAGACATGAGCAACAACAGCTTCAATGCATCTGATGCTCCGGCCTGGTTCGCCACTCTGCCATCTTTGACCTCACTGTGACCCTCTCAGCTTTGATCTCACAAGCTTTTGTCTGAAATTCTCTAAATGCAACACTTCTTGTCTGAAACTTCAGTTAACACTCTTGTGTATTCGAGGAATAAAAAACTTCAGTTAATCCTTTACTTTCGTCTGAATTTTTACGAATGTAGATACCTTGAGAATCTGCGCATTGGCGGGCTGATGCCACCAGCTCTCTTCAGCCTTCCTGTAATTCAGACACTGTGAGTAAACTATCCACACTGCAACAAAGTACGCTACCTGATAGATGGAAGTGAAGAAGATTATAATAAATAAGAGTTTCCATCTATCAGACACAGTGAAGAGTATACAAAATTGTTATGATTATGTAATCGGTGCTACCGCCTCCCCTTACAGTCTCCTGGATTCAACTTCCTTATTACAATCGCAGGAAGCTCCGGGCAACCGTTTCAACGGCACCTTGACTATCAGATAAGACTTCAGTAGTCAGCTCCAACTGATCGATTTGCATGACAACCAGATCGAAGAGTACGCTATTGGGGGATCACCATACAACCAGATACTCCTGTAAGAACATTTTAGCCTGTGGTCAGTGCTAGCTCTGTTTGATTCACTTATGACGTCAGCTATCCATCTTGTCACAGACTGGTGGGGAATCCTATTTGCCAACAAGGGGACAACCGGAAATACTGCACTGCCACCGGACAGGCTAATCCGGAGATGCCACCTTATGCTACTGCCAAGAACTGTTCTTCGCTGCCACCCCCATGCCTGTCGTATCAGATGCTGAGCCCAGCCTGCATCTGTGCCGTGCCCACGTGCCGTACAAGGGCACCATATTCTTCAGATCGCCGCCGTTTTCTGACCTGAGCAACAGCTCGTACTTCATCCGTAGAGAGCAAGAAATGAAGAGCAAATTCTTGGAACGCAGCATCCCGCTGGACTCGGTCTCGATCCATGATTCAATTTTTAATGCGCACAACAACTTGCAGATGAGCCTGGAGTTGTTTCCAAGTGGCAAGACCCGGTTCAGTGAACAAGACGTTTCTGACATCGGGTTCATGCTGAGCAACCAGACGTATAAACCAACCGGCTATGGCCCATATTTTTTCATTGGACAGGCGTACACTTTTGCCAATGGTGAGATCATTCATGTATACATTCAGATTCAGGGACTGTAGTACATTAGATATCGTATCATGCTATGATTACACTTGAATGCTTAAGCTTGATCAGCGTCGTTCATGTCTCTGTCTGTTCAACAACTCCTCAATTCTTCAACATAGAGGTGGCATTAACTTCGAAACCGAAGACGACAAACCACAAACCCCTGATTGTTGGAGTTTCGATGGGCGGCGGAGTTGTTGCAGCAGTTCTTGCCCTTGTGATCATCATGGCCAGAAGGAAGAGGAAACCAAAGCAGACTGAAGAGAGAAGCCAACCTTTTTGGTTATTTAGCACTTAGCAGTAGCACAGGTCAACACCTCATTTTCCCTCTTATCTCTCGCCAGTCCTCTGCTCTGCCTCTGCATAGAAGTCACTGACTTGACAGAGGCTTTGTCCTTTGTGGAGCACAATCACCTGCAGGTTCATGAGGCATGAAGTCTAGAGCAGCAACGACAATACTGGCCCCCAGCTACACGGGGCGCGCATGTTCACGTTCAATGAGCTGAAGAAGATCACCAGCAACTTCTCTGAGACGAACGACATCGGGACCGGAAGCTACGGGAAGGTGAAGTGATCACTGATCAAGCAAGCAAGCAGCCACAGTGGGGCAAGGGCAATCACAGTTTGTTGAATGTTCTGATCAGCCGCTGTCTGTTCTGAATGCTTGCGTGCAGGTTTACAGAGGGATGCTCCCGGGAGGGCAGCTGGTGGCCGTGAAGAGATCCCAGCAGGGGTCCCTGCAGGGGAGCCTGGAGTTCAGGACGGAGATCGAGCTCCTCTCCAGGGTTCACCACAAGAACGTCGTCACCCTCGTCGGCTTCTGCGTGGACCAGGGCGAGCAGATGCTGGTGTACGAGTACGTGCCCAACGGCACGCTCAGGGAGAGCCTTAGCAGGAAGCGACATTTCCGATCCGCTGAGCGGCTAGCGTATGCACTGCAGGCAAGTCCGGCGTGCGCCTGGACTGGCGACGGCGGCTTCGGGTGGTGCTCGGCGCGGCGAAGGGCATCGCCTACCTGCACGAGCTCGCCGACCCTCCGCCTCCGGTCGTGCACCGCGACATCAAGTCCAGCAACGTCCTCCTCGACGACCGGCTCAACGGTCAACGCCAAGGTCTCCGACTTCGGCCTCTCAAAGCCGCTGGGACTGGACGGCAGGGGCCAAGTCACCACTCAAGTCAAGGGCACAATGTTTGGTTGATCGATCGCTTGACAACAACTCGTGTTGCTCCATTGTTGTACTATACAAATGATTCGACACGTGTTGGCGGCGTTGCAGGGTTACCTGGACCCCGAGTACTACACGACGCAGCACCTGTCGGAGAAGAGCAACGTGTACAGCTTCGGCGTGCTGATGCTGGAGATCATCACGGCGCGCGGAAGCCGCTGGAACACGGCCGGTACGTGGTCCGGGTCTCCGGGAGGTGAGGGCGGCGGCGGACCGGGGCAAGGAAGGACCTGTGCGGCCTGCACGAGCTGCTGGACCCGGTGCTGGCCGCGTCGCCGGCCGGGCTAGAGCAGTACGTGGACCTGGCGCTGCGGTGCGTACCTCGTACCTGCGTGGAGGAGGCCGGCGCCGACCGCCCGTGTCCATGGGCGAGGTGGTCAGCGAGATCGAGCGCATCATAAAGGCTGCCGGCGTTGGCACCGGCGCCGAGCCGCCGACCCGGTGTCCGGCTCCTTGATCAGCTACCCAAGTCGGTCACCGCTCCACCCGAACGGTGGCGACAGTCCCTTCGACTACAGCGCCGGTGCTACGCTGCCGTCGGGGAGGGTGGAGCCCCCATTGAAGAGCCTGTCGCGCCGCGACTACTGCGTGCCATGTTCAGGGTAAAGAATGCTAGTACTGCAGAAATTTCGGTTCATGGGTGCCGCTGGAAAGAAGTGATTGTGTGCAACTACTCTAGTATGAGCTATGAATTAATTGCAAAGGCAATGATACATTATTTTGCTTGTGATGAGAATCATTTCTCTCTCCATTAATAATGATATTACTATGAACCAATTAGCCCATGAAATAATAAGCTTAGAAAAACAGGAGTCAACTTGAGAAGTTGAAATATCTAATAAACAGGATCAGGAGCTGCCAAGATTTCTTGGTATTTTCCGTACTGTTGAAGTCAAATTGCTCGTGTGAGGTGTGACTTAACAAAATTGAATATGCAAATTTATGGTGCATACAACAACAGAACAATGGAACTTGCATGCCCAGCTACCTCCACTAATTGAGCATGCATACACAAGCATCAAATCAAAAACGAATTGTTACATTTGTACATGCTTCCTTTCATGCTCGTCGTATACACCAAAACACATTATTATATCGACGAGCATGTGTCATGTGTCGACTCCTTTAGCTACTCCTGGATCTAGTGTACAAGATTGTTAATGTACAGGATCACACGGATCACAAGCGTTCAGTAGTTCAGAGTCTGTCTGTGTTCTACAAACAAGGGCGTTACATCCACAAGCTCAAGATGTAAGCGTGAGGTTCCGTTCATCGAATGCCATGCAATGAAAATCTCCTCGATTTTTGCTACGCGGATCCTCTGGCTAGGAATACGCCTCCGTATTTGCAGACTCCATCCATGCTGCTTAATTTGAAGCCAGCATTGCCCGACAAGCAGATTTCAGATTACGTCTTCCCTATCGCAATTTGACAGTCAGATCTGGCTGAAAGCAAGATGTTCTGGTTCGCCTCCACAACTAAGGAATCTCACCCGAGGGAGTCACATTAATGCTCTGAGACCGAACCCTGTCTATGATCTTCTGCCTGCCTGTTAAATCTTCTTCGTATCCAACGACCTGCAGAAAACACCAGATTTTAATGAGTCGGACAATGCTTTTGCCGATTGCCGAGTAGAGCATGTTGATTAATGGATAGACTACACACCTGAGATTCCGTCTGCGTCTCACTGAAAGGGTAGTAAGTAGTGGGAGCTGGGGAGGGGACTGGTGTGGAGTTTAAGTTTTTAACCTTTGTGTCAGGGGTGTTGTCTTGCTTCTGTTGCCTAGAGAAAATAAACAACAGTTACCAAACCAAACGTGAAGCAGGGATGATCCCATCCCTCAAAGCAGGGCAGGACCATCCGCCTTCTATATCCCAGAACCAAACACACCCTTACTGCAAACAAGTTGCCAGATGAAAATTTTCTGCTACATAGGTGTCATAGAGTGAGCATGTTGCTGTGTGAATATTCATTTTGTTATTGTGTGAGGAAGTGGAAGTTCTATCAATCAGAAATGATGATTGAATGCTTCATTGTTAAACTGAAAGTAGCATTCCAAATCTATCCAAACATACACGCGTACAAAATGCAGAATGTACCAACTTACATGTTCAACCAGCTCCTTGAAATGCCAAAGGAGTGTGTATCTTTCTGCTCTTGAACAACAGAATTGTCAGGTTCAAATATCTGCATCAGAAGTTAAGGATACAACACTAGTGCATTTGTAATGTACAGTATGGAGTAAGAACAGTAAAGCATTTATCACCAGTAAAATAGGATACACTCCTGGGAGATTGCACGTCCTGAATCTGCAGTTTAAAAAATGCGATGTGTCGCATTTAGACGATGTCCCAAGTCTTTGTAATAGTAAAGTGTATGGATTGCATTAGCATTACCTTGGATGATAGAACCTCTATGGCATCTGCGACATCAGGGACAGAGCTATTGTCGAGGTGTTTCTCAGATCTTCCGATATTTCCGCACGTATCGTTAACCTTGCCAGGAACAGATATTCTTCTCTTTCTACTAACAGCAGGCATAGTTGTTTCTTCATGAACTGCAGAAATACCAGCACCAGCTATACAAGCACAATGAGTTTGGGGTGAACATAATTTCTTTGCAGAACCTGTGAAATGAACAATTACCAGAATTGTGTGTTGCATTGTTTGTTGTTACTTGACAACCATTAAGCAGCTCAGAGGAATCAAATCTGGTTGCCTGCGTGGAATATTGGCTGACAGTGCACACATAAGCATCTTGATCCTGTGATGTAAGTGGTTTGGTTGAAAGTGATCAACAGGGAGAAGTTTATCCTGCAATGACAATTAAGCTATCTTGTTAACCATTTCACGCGACAGGCCATTGTCAGGGGAAAGGAAGCGTGAATATGCTCAACACTATGTATTGAAGACGAATACCTGTTTTACACACTCATAGAGCCACTCGGGAGTAATGGTTGGAGTTCCTCTTTTGGTGTAAACCTCATACTTTGGACCACTTGCAAATTTGCAGATGAGATGGGTTACTCTCTTATATGCTTTTTCTGTAAACTTAGCGCCCAGTAGAAAGCACAAGTTCTTCAACAGCTGTCTTTCTTTCTCTCCATATTGTGAAATACAGAAATAGAAGCTTTTGAATCCTGGGAGCGGGATGCGACAGCTAAAGGGGAGAAGATAGGATGACTCCCAACATCTTGTAAGCAGTTCTCCTATACAAATTTTTAAATGTATAAGAACTGGAATGTAGACTGACACTTCAAAAGCATAGTGGAGCAAAGTGACCTCGACCACAGAAGCATGTACCTCCAAACATGATCGTATCCATTGAGTTGAAACAACAGCTGAATGAGACAAGTCACAAGGCAAGCTGTTTTGTCCATGGCACTCAATTATGAAATCCACAACAGTTGATTGTATGTCATTGTCATCCACCATAACGCCTCCACCATCTCTGACCCAATCAACAACCTCAGGTCTCTGATTCATATGAACATAGCCACTTTGTCAACAAAAATCAAAGCAAGTGGGAGCCAAATATTTATACATAATCAAAAAGAAAACTAGGCTTCTAGATGAGCAAGACTAGGCTTTTTCGGCTCTGGTCTACTATATACAGTAACTTCAGTGTAAAGTAATGTCTCAACAAGTTGATCCATCAGCAAAAGCATTTGAAAGTTCTAAAAACATGACCTAATTGCTATTTCTACCACCCACCAAAATGAATGTTTTTACAGTAGGGAGACCTCTACTCTGTGTGTGTGTGTGTGTGTGTGTGTGTGTGTGTGGGGGGGGTGGTGTTTATAACTTTATATATAGATAATGAAAACCTAAAAAAGGAACAAGAGGGGATCAAATGAACATGAAGTTAAACCATGAGTCATCTTAAAAGGGAGGTGGCACAAATGATACCAATACAGGAAATGGATGGAATATTAGCAAAGTAGCATACCTTGTCATGAGAAAATGAATTTGAGAAACTAAATGTTCTCCCTTTGAATATATTTGATCTGCTACTTCCAGAATTCATTGTGGATGTTACTTGATATTGGGGCTGGTACTCGCTAACATTGACCATTCCATTCTGTTGACTTGATTTTGCAGTCCTGGCTGCTGATCGGGTTTTACTTATACTGTTTTCATGTTTGCCTCTTTTTGGTTTTCTTTCAGATGACACATCTTTTTCATGATGTTTGTCATGTAAGTCATCGACAGTTGGAACATGAAAAATCCAACCTGAGCTTTTGGCTACCTTAGTTTCACGTGTATCAGCAGAATTTTCCATGCCCACTTGTGAAAATCCTATGTTCAAAAGATAGAAAAACATTGAAAGTTAAGCATGGATAATATCTGTTTTAACTTTTAAATACAACTAAATCTGGTGGGTTCCATACCCTTCAAGAGGAGCTCAGTAGCTATATGCATTGGGGATACTTTCACTTCCTTTTTTGCTCTATTGCAATCTTCTAACCATGTTACTTTCACTATATTTATTACACCCCATGCAGCCAGACGTCTTACCTCCTTTTTTTCACTGTCAAGACAAATAAGCACAATCAGCTGCAACTGAAACCATCCAGAAAAGAACTAGGATATACAGGAGAAACAGTTGCATGAACTTACTCATCTGAAGGTTTACCAATAACAATATGAGTAAGCTTCTCACTTAGCAAAATATGCCGGGATCCACCTCCATTGCGTATCATCATGACGAGCCTTAACAACTCTTTCTCTTCAAAACCCACGAGAGAAATTCGGCAATTTGATAAATATAGATCATCATTTTCTGGCTCTGAGTCCTCAGCAACATGACTATCAACCTGCATCTCATTTTTCTCTTGGACACTAGGTGTGCCAACAATTGCAGTGTTGCTGATCCGTGCAGCATCGCCAAATGAAGCAGGCAAATATTGTGACATTGATACTGAGTCATCAACTGATGTTGCTGGAACAGGTTGAAAGCTTGCACTTGCGCTACTGATCTCTGGATTTTGTTGCTCCTTAAGGGAACTCTTTGAACCACTAAAAGCAGATGAACTCTGACAAACGAGGTAGCTATTTTCATCTTGACAAGCTTCATTTCAATAAAAAAATGCATTCAAGAAGTCAGATTAATTTTACTAGATCTATAACTTTTGCAGGAGGAACAATCTATAGTAGCAGCAAAAGCTCCTGGGTATGTTAGTACCTCTTCGAGCAACAGATTGTTCAACCCATCTTGGATTCACAATGTGGATATTACCCCATTTTTGGGCCACGACATATTTGTCACCTCCAGGTTTGTAATAATATGTTAAGAAATCAATATAGTAAGCAAAGTGTGTTGTCCTTTAGAAAGCTGTTTGGAAAATGAACAATACTTTAACAAATGTCAAGCCAAATGTTCCCCAAACACAGGAACAAACATTAAGTAAATCCTGGAATGCCAGTGGTAATTTCTTTCAGTGATTTTATCCTTTTTTTTTTGTTATATTGACAGTTGATAGATGGATACACGGCTTTCATGAATTCACAACTGTGGTGTGCATCCATTGATCACCCAGTTTTAACGACATGTCAGACTGCTCAATTAGTCATATTTTCATTCATCTACATTTCATTTCCTGCACTATGGCTATGGAAAAGGAATACAGGGTGGAGGATTATAAGTTTGGCCTAACGACAAATCTGGTACTTTTGCTGAGATCTTCAGATCTATTCCGGTGGACTCATTTAAACCAACTGAAATCTCAAACAGAAAATAGTAAATTCAAAAGGCATCAAAGGATATATTTGCGACTAAATGGGTGCACTTCCGTGTGAGACAGGGAGAAAACTGGCCACCATTCTGCACTACCATTTTCTCCAATTCCTTCCGTTCATCTGATCAAACAGAAGAAAAATAAAGCGTCACTGATGAAGTAACTGATCATTCAATTCAACAGAATAAAGCATATGTTACATGTAGTTTCCATAAATATCAACAATAGCTCTGCACTAGCAGAGGGTTGGAAGTTCTGTGTCTAAAGCCCGCAGTTCATACCTTGCACTTGGACTAACTCCTACATGTTGTTCCCTCGGCTGCCCTGCACAGGTAAGCAGTAAGCTTACCAGCACACTCACTCACTATGGCTAAAGGTAGAAGAAGATATTGAGAACAGCTCACACACACAGCACAAACCCAGCACTGGGCGAAAGCTCTGCTTCTGGATGTGGCAAACTGAACTGCTCTGTTGCATTGCCTTAGGTGTGATATATATACAAGTGCTAGCACCTCTACCAGGTACATAGTTGTTGGTGAGTAGGTGTGATATATATACAAGTGCTAGTACCTCTACCAGGTACATAGTTGTTGGTGAGTAGGTGTGATATATATACAAGTGCTAGTACCTACCTACTCCTAAGGTACACCAACTACTCCTAATACTAGTGGTACAAAGCTTAAATCAGCCCACTACCAAGACATAGCTGATGTAATAGCTACCAACTAATGTACTAGAAGTGGCCTATTGCCATACTGCTACAGCAGTAGAAACTGGGCAGCCAAGCTGACCAAATGCCAACTCTGCTGAAGAAGAGAGAGAGATCGAGCAGCAGATTATGTCTTACGATTCTTTCCCTAATCTGTTGCTAACCCGATGCCTTGACCTCATCCATGCCAATCATCTTCCTCGGCTCCATGAATCATAAGCGCCCTAGTGACTTGGTGAGGATGTCACGATTTGTCTGCCGGTCTCGGACGAACTCGATGACGATCTACCTCCATCGATGCGATCCGGAGGAAGTGGAACTTGATGTCAATGTGCTTGCTCCGATCATGAGTCTGTGGTTCTTAAGCGAGAGCGATGGCGGTGGTTGTCCACCATCGAGTGGCGGGTGAGCTTCCTCGCCGGTCACCGCTTAGCGGCCAGCCGCAGCTGAGCAACAGACGCGCCGCCGTGGTCGCTGCGACGTACTCCGCCACACGCCGCCAGCGCCACGATCTTTTTGCTTCAGCCGATCGCAAGCAATGGGGGCGCTCAAGGAATACGAGCACGCCGGAGGTGCTCCGTCGCCCGCCATGTCTGCGGTTGCTGAAAAACAAGTGAGCTCCGGCTCACCTTCCTTTGCCTTTGGGGTGCCTCATCGAAGACCGTGAGCCAGAGCCCACCCTTGCCGCCACTCTTGGGGAAGATGATCGCTGATCGAAAGGCCCCTTGACGAAGCGCAGTGACCTCTTCACCGCCGTCCAGTGATCCTCGCGCGGGTCCTCCATGAAGCGACTAACATACCCGACCGCGAACGTGATGTCCGGCCGAGTATGCGTGAGGTAGCGCAGCCCGCCGACGATGCTCCGTTAGCGCATCGCGTCCACCTTCGCCGCCATGCTGTGCTACAGCTTCAGCCGCTCCTCCATTGGAGTTGCGCACGGCTTACACTCCGCCATGCCGCTGCGCTCCAGCAGCTTCTCCGCATAGGCGCGTTGGCCCAGGGAGATGTGCTCCTTCCCCTGCCTCACCTCAATGCCGAGGTAGTAGGAGAGCGCGCCGAGATCGCTCATTTTGAAACGAGCAGCCATCTCGCGCTTGAAGCCGTCAATGTCCTCCGCCCGCGCTCCAGTGACGATCAAGTCGTCCACATACACGCCGACGACGAGCTCCTTCTTCCCCCGTAGCCGCGTGTACAGCGCGTGCTCTGTGGCGCAGCGAGTGAACCCAAACTCGCCCAAGGTGGCGTCGAGCTTGGCGTTCCACGCCCGAGGGGCCTGCCGCAGCCCGTGGAACGCCTTGCGCAGCTTGAGCACCTTGTGCTCAGCGCCCTTGACGGCGAAGCCCGGAGCTTGCATGACGAAGACCGTCTCCGCGAGCTCGCCGTTGAGGAACCCTGATCCACGCAGTACGCAGCGAACTCCACCGAAGTGAATTCGCCGCCGCGATCATTCCGCAGCACGCACAGCTTCTTGCCGCTCTCCGCCTCCGCACGCGCCTTGAACTTCTTGACCGCTTCATTGCGCCGGGGTCTTGTCGGGGAAAAGCTGCGCACCACATGAACCTGCCTGACCATCCACCGCCAGGATGAAGTACTTGTGCCCGCCGTGCATCGCCGGCGTGATCGGCCCGCAGAGGTCACCATGGACCAGCTCGAGGGCCTCTGCCGCGCGGTACTTCGCCGTCTTCGGGAACGGCAGCCTTCTTTGCTTCCCGACCAAGCAGCTGTCACAGCTCGCCTGCGTGGTCGATATGAGGCAGCCCAGTCACCATCTTCTCCAGTCGACCAAGAGCGTCGAAGTTGAGACGGCCATACCAGGCATGCCACAGCCACGGCTCCTCCGTGTACCGTGCAGCCAAGCAGATGGGCTGCTCCAGTCGAGCAGGTACAGACGGTTCCGGGACCTCTTCACCTTGGCGGGGAAGACGGCGCCCGGTCCTCGATCCTAAGGACGCCAGCTGTCGCCTGATCGATTACCACCGCCGCAGCGCTCATCCGGTGGCCAATCCGATGATACTTGAACGCAGCTGCGGGATGTAATATACATCCGTCAGCATGCGGTGCTCACCGTTCTAGCACCTGAAGATGATTGTGCCGCGCCCTCGGATCGCCACCCTTGAGCTGTCACCGAACTTCACCGTGCCGGTCACGTTGCCGTCGAGCTCAGAAAAGCCTTCCTTGGAGCCCGTCATGTGGTTGCTAGCACCGGAGTCCAAGTACCACCGCTGCTCCTGCTCGCCGCCCACACGTCCGAGGTGGAATTGGCCGCACGGTTCGTCGAGGTTGACAGCCTTCAAAGCCTTGCCGTGCCCTTCCACCGCCATCACCTCTCCCTTCTCCTTGGCCTCAACGTTGTGCAGTGCACAAAACGTCGCCATCAGGAGAGTGGCCTCATCATCCTCATCAGCCTGCGCTAAATGAGCCTCAGCCTTCTTCTCCTGCTGGCGATTTGGCCACTCCTTTGCCCAATGGCCCGTTTTCCCGCAGCGTCGGCAGGCGTTGGGGTCGACCTTCTACTTCTTCTCCGAAGAAGCCTTGCCGCAGCGCTTGCCATCGCCACCGCGGCTGGAGCAGGCTTCCCCAGACTTCTTCTCCTTCATCTGGGTAGCCCACTCCTTTGTCAGCAGCAACTTGCCGCTGTCCGTCATTGCTGTGGCCTGCTCCATGCGCTCGTCCACCGCCCGCAGATGACCTGTCACATCCTCAATGGTGAGGGTGGACAAGTCCAGCATCATCTATATGGAGAGAGCAATCTGGATATATTTCACCGGCACGGAGTGAAGGTACTTGGAGAACGCCTCTTCTTCGTCGATGGTGACGCCGTGGCTCCTCAGCTTGCTGATGAGCGACTGCAGACGGAGGAAGAAGTCCTCCACCGACTCACCATCCTTGAACTTGAGGTTGGCGTACTCCTGCTTCAGCAGCTGGGCCGTCGCCTTCTTTGTGCGGTCGGAGCCGACGCGCATCGCTGCAATGGCCTCCCAAGCATCCTTAGCAGAGTTTTTCGCCCCCAACGGCTCCCTGTACTCCGCTGGCACAGCAGCGAGTATAGCCTCCAACACTGACATGTCTTCTTCGTTGCCGGTGCCCTTGTCAATGACATTCCAAAGCCGTCGAGCTCTGAGCTTGACCTTCATGGTCACCGCCCAATCGCCATAGTCGGTGCGAGTCAGCGTCGGCCAACTGGTGCCGCTGACCTTGCGCACGACGACCTCCTGTTGTAGCTGGGCAGCCACAGCAGCGTCGCTGCTGTCGCCCATCTCCGAACTGTCCGTCATCGTCAGCGGTTAGTCCAGCGACGGCGCTTGTACGGCTCTGATACCACTTGGTCCCTCGGCTGCCCTGCACAGGTAAGCAGTAAGCTTACCAGCACACTCACTCACTATGGCTAAAGATAGAAGAAGATATTGAGAACAAATCACACACACAGCACAAGCCCAGCGCTGGCCGAAAGCTCTGCTTCTGGATGTGACAAACTAAACTGCTCTTTTGTATTGCCTTAGGTGTGATATATATACAAGTGCTAGTACCTCTACCAGGTACATAGTTGTTGGTGAGTACACCAACTACCTACTCCTAAGGTACACCAACTACTCCTAGTACTAGCGGTACAAAGCTTAGATCAGCCCACTACCAAGACATGGCTGATGTAATAGCTACCAACTAATGTACTAGAGGTAGCCTATTGCCATACTGCTACAGCAGTAGAGACTGGACAGCCGAGCTGACCAAATGCCAACTCTGCTGCAGCAAGAGAGAGAGAGATCAGCAGCAGATTATGTCTTACACTACCTCCACCAGTCTGGATTACCTATTATTTAGGTTTATACAGCTCCAATATACATGTTTGACATTAGAATATATATTATATGTGAACTGACTTACTGACATCAAATCCATTAATACCATTTTCATGTAAATCCAAATACTTTCATAGAAGGGTCAAAGTTCTAAAGGTTTAGTGTTTGATTGCAGGCTGATATCCGCAAAGGTTTCTGTTTAGTTTCCACAGGGATTGGTATAGCACAAATCATAGCCAGTCTCCACAAAACCCAATCACAAATCTGCCAAAAAAAATTCTCGAATGCCTAGGACATGTCATTCCATAAAGAAGAAAATGTACCAAAGAGTACAATACCACACCCACACCTGCCTATAAAAAACAGTACATTCACGCCACACAAATAATCTGCCAAAAACCTAGTCCAATTTCAAGGTGGAAACAGAGAAATGATATTCTCGACTATTGCCTAGTAGGTTAAAAAATTAAATCTTGACTTCAAAACCAGGCACTTGACACCTTAAACTATCAAGATAATGCAAAAGACACCCCTAGCCCTAAACAACTGTGTTTTTTATTGGCAATTGGCATTACATCCCAGTGGGCAACAGTTACAATAATATGCCACATCAACATTGGCTTGCTTACTAAACACACAATAAGCTGAAACCTCAGTAATTTATGGAAAGTGGAGTATTTGCACAAGTTGGTCAGGTAGCAATTACCAAATCCATGGACATATTCAATAACATAATATAAAGCATTACAATAGTTGATATTTTATTTTGGAAGTATCAACCTTTTAATCAACAACCATAAGAGCATGTTCAGAAGATTGGGCTCCAAATAGGGATGAAAACGGACGGAAACGGGCGGAAAAACTCCTCTCCCATTTCCGTTTCTATATTTTTAGCGGAAACGGGATCGGGTTCGGGAAAAAAACGGAATTAAAAACGGATGGGGATATATGGAAATACGGAAACAGACAAATACGGACGAAGAGCCGGAAAAATAAGTTAGAATAACACGATCAAATATTCTTGAGTATACATGAACAAAGTCACAAAATAATATACACGTACGAAATTATCGGTCCAATATTCACTAGTATACCATGTGTTAACATGTTAACATGCATAATTTGTGATTAGTAGGTTTATGAACATATCAATTTCTAGACATATCTCACATAGATTGAAAACGGGATGAAAAACAGAATAAATACGGGTCAATTCTGGATAAAAACGGGATCTCGCGGAAACGAACGGAAAAACCCCTTTCCCGTTTCCGTAAATACGGAAACGAGATCCCACAAATACGAAAATGGACGGAAGAAAGTAGAAAACGGAACGGGTCGGAACGGGATTTTTTTCCGTCCGTTTTCAACCTTAGCTCCAAATCCCAAGAATTTACTTTAAATATGAACTTTTAAAGTTACTAGAGTAATCCTACTTTTCCAAAATCCAAACAGGCCTTCAATTTTCAATAACCATACAAGAAAAAAAAACATGCTCTGAAGGGAGGAAAATCAGAACTCACTTCCCACACCAAGCTGAATAAAATTCAACTGCACCAACCTGGATCCAGTTTAGTGACACAGATATTCAACCCAGTAAAGGGAAGAATCCTGTAAGGTTCATGAGGTACAACACGATGTTCAATCCAGCATTGCTCTAACCACTTCATGGTGACAATGGGCTTCTTCAAAGTATTCAGAGCCCACTGCGAACACAAAAAGAAGCAGCCACATCCAGATTAGTCATAGGCCAACAGCTCAACCAGTACCAATGCTGAAAGAGCATGAAAGTAAGTTCTTGCATCAATGCCATCTGAGATGTTCAAAGGAGTTAGCAGCACTGATGCAGCATGCAGTTATGCTTTTTAGCTGCAGCATAACAGCCTCAGTACTCTACTACAAATCATAGCTACACAATACTCCCTCCATAATCTTTTCTTAGGCATGTGAGGAGTTTTTACGGATACCAAGGATCTGCAGGAAACGAGACAGAAGATTAATGAAGCTCGGAACTTTGGCTTGCAGCGGCCACGTCTTTACAGCTGATTGGTTCCATGCATGCAAGGCTTCGTAGCCCTGGATGACAGCCAAAAGCAAGTACGATTGGATGCATGCATGGAAAAGAACGCTTGGAATTTGAGCACATGAGTAACTGCGGAATGCTCTATTGGACGCCGCTTCAAATCCACTGGACCATGCCTAGAAGCGTACCCACACCCAATATAACCTCAAAACAGAGAAATCACCATGCGCCTAATAAAAGATTATGGAGGGAGCAGGTAGGCAAAGATACATGAAACTGGGTAAAAATGAGTGAACTTTTTTTTCAAATGACACAGGAGAGCTGCACGTAATTTCATTAAGGAAAAAAATACAAAGAGAGGCTAGTGGGCCAGCTCCCATACATGTACAGTTACTGATCCGTCACTTAAATCAAAAAACTCGAACTCCACCACACCCCCTGACCTAACTGTCAAGGATAAGTGACCTGATGAGTAACTCGTGGAGGGCTGAAGCACCAAAAGCTACTCTCATTTGCCATTGACTGTAACACTAATGGACATAGAATGATTAGCACCCTTAAAAAAAATTCATTGTGGTGTTCCTGTATCTCCCAAGCCACCAGAATGATGAGGGAATTGAGTTCTTTTTTTCAAATACTTGGGCACACTTCTGACAGCACTATTCCACCAAATAATGGATAGGAATGCATTGAAAGCAGCTACTCTCATGCTAGAATCACTAACATGCTTTAGATCCTAATAATATCACTATACATTTATTTATTTATTTTCTTTTCCTGTTTTGTTGGTGGCTCATGTTGGGTTTCAACTAGTCTACCCCATAGTTTTAAAGGCGGTTAGGCGTCCAGGCGAGTGGTTGGTACGCCTGGACGCCTAGGCGACGCCTTTAAAACTATGGTCTACCCCCAAACTGTTTGGGAATAAAAGGCTTTGTTGTTGTTGCATTAGATAACTGGTGAGCTCTTTTAAAAGTCAAAAGGTAAATATTTACTAAAAAAAGATTAAAGTTATCTTGACCAACTAGACTTTGGGTTTATTTAGGTTAAAAAGCCTTCAGAAGTATCAAAAGAACAGAAACAAGACTTAAAATTACTTTTGGCACTTGTGGCATGTCAAGGGCGTCGAACCCTCGACGCGCAGGGCCTCGGCTACGAAGCTCGTAGCCCTCGGCCGTCTTCTCCGGTGAGGTTATGCCCCTCTACCGCAGGCTTGAGATTAGATGGAAGATAGGATAATAATCTTGCTTAATTCCTTCAAGTCCGGTTCCCATACATATATAGCCTTGCGGCTGCCACAAAAGGAAAACAAACTCCTAATCTTAAGGTAACAAATAGATGCTAATAATAAGGGAACTAATCCTCGATAACTTTTCAACTAAGGCCTCCTAGCCATGACCTGGCTGATCGGCCACAAGAGCGCGCTTCTGCGCTGGGGACCTTGCTACTGGGCCGCTTCACAGATGTGTCGGCGTAGCGCGCTCGCGCCGGGCATACACCGCCCACACATGACATCTCTCCCGCCTCAAGTCCGGCTCGTCCTCGAGTAAACGAAGGAAACCGAAAAGGAAATCGTCGAGGTCTTCCCAGGAGGCTGCAGCGGGGTCGTGACCCTCCCATTCGACGAGGACTTGGCGAACTCCACGAGCCAGGCGGCCCTGTGTCACCCGCGAGGGCGCAGGCACGACGGCACCGTTGGAGAGGGGCGGCAACGCCGGCGGAGCAGCTGGTGGTGACCCCACAAACTTCTTGAGGACGCCCACATGGAACACATCGTGGAGACGGGCATCCGGGGGTAGCTCCAGGCGCACGGCCGCCTCATTGATGACCTCGGTGACCTTATACGGACCAACGAAGCGCGGCTTCAGCTTGCCACGCACCGCACGGGGCATGGACGCAGCAGCTCGCTGCCGGAGACGCAGCAGCAGCCGCCCGGATCCCCGACCGTGAAGATGACGCGACGATGATCTTTGATCAGAAAGCGCGTTTACGACCGCTGAGCTCGCTTCCAGACGGACACGAATGTCGTCCAGGAAGGCGGCCCTCTCCTCCATCTCCTGAGCGACGGCCGCGACCCGAGCTTCGCCCTGCTCGTAGGACCGAATGGTCGGCGGGTCCCTGCCGTAAACCACACGGAACGGGGTCTCACGCAGGGACGACTGAAAGGCGGTGTTGTAGGTGTACTCGCCCACGGCACCACCGGATCCATCGACGGGCGGTCGCCGTGAAACATCGCAGTACATGACGATGACCCGATTGGCGGCGGCCTCCGTCTGGCCGTCCGTCTGTGGGTGTGGAAGGGCGAGGACATGTAGAGCTTTGTCCCGGTGAGCCGCATGAGCTCTCGCCAACGCCGATGTGAAGGCGGGTCGCGTCCGGCGTGATGGATGCGGAACCCGTGGGCGCGGACGATGTCGGCGAAGAAGGCGTTGGCGACGGACTCGGCGGTGTAAGGATGTGCCAAAGGAATAAAATGGCGTGACTGTCAAGCGATCCACCACGGAGAGGATGACCGTCTTGCCTCGACCTTGGGGAGCGCCTCGATGAAGTCGATGCCAAGGTCGGCCTGCATCGCCGATGGCTGGGACCGAGCGGCTGCGATGAGGCGGCTTACCAAGGTGGTCGACCTTGTATCTTTGGCGGTGTGACGAGCCTTGACGAACTCCTGCACCAAAGCACGCATGTTGGGAAAATGAAAGTCGCGTCGGAGCCGATGGAGGGTGCGGTGGATCCCCTCGTGACCGTCATTGTGGACGGCGGCCACAATCTCCTGCAGCAGCGGCGACGCCGGCGGGATGTACAGGCGGCCGGCGTGTGCGACCATGCCATCCACTAGCGCCCACGGCGCAGAACGGGCACCCGACCGCAGCTCGTCGTGCATGGCGACCAAAGCCGGATCCGTGGCCTGGGCGTGACGGAGGCGGTTGACGAAGTCAAAACGAGGCGCGGAGATAATAGCAATGGCGACCCGTCCTCCTGATCTCGCCGCGAGAGCGCGTCGGCGACGACGTTCGTGGCGCCGGACCGGTACTCCACCGAAAAATCAAACCCGAGGAGCTTGCCGACCCAATGATGCTGTGGGATCGTAGCGAGGCGCTGGTCGAGGAGGTACTTGAGGTCGTAGTGATCGGTCTTGACTATGAAGCGGCGCCCCAAAGGTGCGGTCGCCCGATGCCGACGGCCTCTGGACCCAGCCCGATCGATTCGGCCAAGGATTCGTCTGCAGGGCGAGCGAGAGTGGCGGCGCCACCGGTGGTGAAGAACGCGACGGGTGACCCTCCTGGACCAAAGACGGCGCCGAACCGGACGTCGGCGTCGCGACTTTCGGCGATGAAGAGCTTGTCGAAAGTCGGGCATGGCGAGCACGGGCGCCGTCGTCCACAATGCCTTGAGAGCCGCGAACGCCACCGCGAGTGGAGGCGCCCCACGAGAATCCCTCCTTCTTGAGCAGCCCGTCGGCGGTGCCGCAATCGCCCCATAATTGTGGGACGAACTTGCGGTGTAGTATCCGCGAGGCCGAGGAAGCCGCAGACCGCCGCCGGGGAGCGAGGCGAGGCGGGCCGGTCGGCGATCGCTGGACCTTCGCGGGTCCATGGCCACCCTGTACCGCCGAGATGATGTGGCCTAGGTAGGCAACGCTGGCGCCTGAAAAGAGCACTTGGACCGCTGACGAACAACCGGTGGCGGCGGAGTGTATCGAGGACGGTCCGGAGGTGTCGCAGATGGTCATACGTCGTCTTGTAGATCAAAATATCGTCAAAAAATACCGTAACAAGCGGCGGAGGAACGGCCGAGCACATCATTCATCGTGGCTTGAAAGGTCGCTGGGCGTTTGCAGCCGAACGCCATGACCAGGAACTCGTACAAGCCGTCATGGGTGCGGAACGCTGTCTTGTGGATGTCCTCAGGGCGCATGCGGACTTGGTGATAGCCCGAGCGCAGGTCCAGCTTGGTGAAGAACTGAGCCCCGTGGAGCTCGTCGAGGAGCTCGTCGACCACAGGGATGGGAAAAGCATCCTTGACTGTCCGCGCGTTCAATGCCCTGTAGTCGACGCAGAAACGCCACGACCCGTCCGGTTTCTTGACGAGGAGGACGGGCGACGAGAACGGGGAGTCGCTCCGGCGGACGATGCCCTGCTCCATCATGGTGGCGCACTGGCGTTCCAGTTCATCCTTGTGGGCCGCCGGGTACCGGTAAGGTCGGACGGCCACCGGCTGCGCGTCCGGCTTGAGCATGATGCGATGGTCGTGCGCGCGCACAGGGGGCAGACCGGTCGGGTCGGCGAAGACCCCCCCGTATGCGAGCAGCAGCGCCTCGAGGAGGGAGTCGGTGTCGAGTGTCGTCTGTGATGTCGGAGACAGCGGTGGGGCGACGCTGGTCCGTCGAGAGAAGGTGCGCATGGCGGCAGCAAACGTCGGTGGCGCGGCCGAGGTCGAGGTCGACGACGGCCCCAGCCCGCCAAAGCGAGCAGTGTGCCGAGGACGATGTCGTACCCTGCCAACGGCATGACGAAGAGGTCGGCCGGGAACGACTCGCCGTCGACGAGCAGGGGCGCGGCGCGGAGGACGCCCGCGCACGCGATGCGCTCCCCGTTGGCGACCAGCGCCGTAAGGCGGGGGCGCTGGTGGAGAGGCAGGCCGGAGCGCCTCGCTGCGTCTTCCGCGATGTAGTTGTGCGTGCTGCCCGAATCGAGGAGAGCCACGAGCCTCAGGGGCCCCAGGCCGACCGCGATCTGCATGGTGCCCGCCATCGGCACCCGGCCGGCGCTGCCAGGAGAGAAACAGGCGCCTCGGCGTTGTCCGACGCAATGGCGTCCTCGCTCTCGGCCTCGATTCGACCCTTCGACGAAGAAGATGCGCTGCAGAAGCGGTTATGGCCCGGGTGTACCTCTCATTGCGGTTGAAGCACAAACCGAGGCGACGGCGTTCGCCATCTCCTCCCTGCGAAGACGGGCGCTGGAGCCCTCGGTCGGCCCGCCGGCACGCCGGCGGATGCGGCAGAAGGGCGATGAAGGCGGCGGCCCCGGCAGACGGCTCAGCGCGGCGGTGGAGGCGGTGGTAGGCAGCGCGCTCTCTCGGAGGAGGAGGAAGCCGGGCGGTCGGCTCCATCAACTCGACCTGGCGGGCGAGGCTGATAGCGGCGACGAGGGTGTCCGGATGGTGGATGCGGACGGCGTTGCTGAGCGGAGGTCCCAGGCCGCCGGTGAAGAGTTGGACTCGCTGCGCCTCGTCGAGCCGGCCCGCGCGAGGGATCAGGGCCTGGAACCGGTTGGCATACTCTTCCACGGCGCCGCGGCGGCAGATCGCGCCAACTTTCGAACATAGGGGCCGAGCGCAGGGGGACCAAGCGCAGTCGTGGAGATCCTTGAAATTCCCCATGACGGCGTGCCTTCGCCCTCCTCTGCGTTGGATGAACCACGGTTTGCAAGCGGGCGTCGTCAAGTGGTAGGCCGCCATGCGCACGCGCGCTCCTCCGGCATGGTGAGATGTTGCCGGAAATACGCCTCGCACTTGTGGAGGAACGGCATGGGGTCCGGACGTGCCATCATAGTGGGGAAAATCCCACTTCACGTGCTTCGGATGGAACCGAGAGCGCCACGATTGTCGGCGCGACGGTGTCGTGAGCTCTCACCGTGGCGCCTTCTCCTTGAGCGAGGCGACATCGGCCTCTGTGGTGGAGATCTTGGCGGACACCTTCTTCATCTCGTTGAAGAGATCGGTCATGTAGGCTCGACCATGGCGGCGCCGACCGACCGGGTGCGGTGGCTCGGGTTGGGGATGGCGGCGGTGGGGAAATTGGGTGGCGGACGGAGAACGCGAAGAGGATGAGCGGTGACCATCGATACAAGTTGTCAAGGCGCCGAACCCTCGGCAGCAGGCCCTCGGCTCTGAAGCTCGTAGCCCTCGGCCGTCTTCTCCGGTGAGGTTATGCCCCTACACCTTGCAGCTTGAGATTAGATGGAAGATAGGATAATAATCTTGCTTAATTCCTTCAAGTCCGGTTCCCATACATATATAGCCTTGCAGCCGCCACAAAAGGAAAACAAACTCCTAATCTTAAGGTAACAAATAGATGCTAATAATAAGGGAACTAATCTCGATAACTTTCAACTAAGGCCTCCTAGCCATGACACGCTGATCGGCCCACAGAAAGCGATTCTGCTTCGACGACGCTATACTGGGTCAGGCACGCCTGCATATGTCGGCAAGGTCAACGCTGCTGCATGCATACACCTGCCCACACATGACATGGCATCAATTAATTAAACTGGAACCATGAACCACAGAGCATAAAGTAAAGGAATTAAACATATAATACAATACCTTAGATTTTGTCTGCAGTAATGGAACAAGGAACTACTTTTCACAAAAGAAATGCTATATAGGATCTAATAGTATAGGATAAGCATGTAGAACATTTCATACAACATTAGCTGCAGTTGAATTAGCAGGGATTTTCAAAACTTGGATAACTTACTTTATATTTGGCAGCCGTGACATCCTTCACAATTACAAAATTCACATCCATGTTGTGTCTAGTTAGCAAATGACCTCCCATGGCTGTCACTAGTTCTTCAATCCTAACCTGCAAGAACAAAAACAAACTTGAGATAAATATTAACGTATTAACTATCGAAAACTGTAACATTAGGGGAAGCACTGATACATGTACCTTCTCAGACTTTTCAAAGCCTGAACAAAGTGTTTTAACCCCATCCATTGCAAGGCAACAAGTATAACTTTGTTTAGGTAGAAAACGACGTTCTTTAGCACAGGAAAGAATGCACTGTGGTCCTGTCCAAATTCAAAAACATTCATAACTAAACACTTAAACACAAAAGTCAGAGGAACTTATTAGAAGATTGGCTATTATGATTTCAACCACAGAGAAAATTTATGCACTGCAAGACAAGTAACGTTTTGGAGTCCAAATTAACAAGAAAGCCTGATACTTTTTCAAGATAAAAGATAAACAGGTACATGATTGATCATAGCTTCACTTGGCATGTTACGGAGAGAGAAAATTTACATAGATTGCATCAACAATTTTCATGATCAGGTCCCTAGCGACTCATAAATAATCTTATCTACAAGTTTCAGCACTAAAGCATGAAAAGTTTGGGCCCTTTGGCTGCAACAAACTTTGGACAAGCAAGATACCTTAAACAGGAACCTCCTCCCAAGACATTAACAAACTTAGTTCATACAAAGCAGTATATTGTGCATGAAACTAAATTCTCAATTGAAGATACTCTTAAGTCTTAACAAATCAAATGCAGCATTACAGCAAGCTTTGCACAACCTGAGGTAATAAATAAGATGGCTATCTGTAGTGCCCCAAGATCCCATCATGCTCTAGCCTACCCACACATAGTACAAACGATGTATAGACAACCCACATGAGCTTCCATCTTCTTTTCATTTTCACACAAAAGGGTTGACAGGAGGCCATCACCTAGGATTCTTATGGCTTTTTATGTTGGTTAAGACCAACATTAGCTGGCAAAGTGCGACTACTGCCATTCTTGCAACTGTTATCATAATAACAGGCCTAATAAAGATCAGGCTGGGGCATCAGATACCCAGATTTAACAAATTTAGCTCCATGTTGCAAATTCAGCACAATCCACCTATCAAATTAATCCAGCAGTCTTAACAACTGAAGTACTTTTAAATGATAGCAGTAGACTATCTAGTTTTTAACAATCTGCCACACTAATCTCTAGCAGTAGACTATCTAGTCTTAACACCAATCTAACCCTAACAGTTAAAGTTATGGACCATAGAGTCACAAATTGCTGAAATCCAATAATGCAGCTTCCAATCGTCAAGGCATTGTAAACAATTGAACCTAATTTAACTTGCATCTGGAATAATTCCTCTAGTCAGAAAACAAACAAAACAACTGCGCAACCATAGGGCCCAATTCCAGAACTGTGGAGATGCTCACCTAGCAAATTGCAGCCTTTAGCCCGTAGATCGGCGAACCTCTCCTGCAGAAATTGACACAAAAAAAGGAAAATAAACATTATTGGGGATTGGGGAAACGGAAGAGGCGGTCGGATTCGAGGTAGGGGAAAGGGCGCGTGCGTACGTGGGAGGAGGATGAGATGACGTGGAAGTCGAGGGATCCCGTGCGGCTCGGGTCGGCGCAGAGGAGGACCTCGGCGCCGTTGAGGCGGAGCGCGTCGTGCACGGCGTCGAACACCTCGGGGGCAACCAGCTTCCGCGACAGGAACACGCTCGCGCCGGCGAAGGTCGCCGCCCTCCGCCCCCCGGCGGGCCCTGAGGGGCCGGAGCTGTAGGATGGCGTCATCGGAGGGCGGCGGGAAGCGGACGCGCCGAGCCGAGCCGCCGACGAGGCGACGGTGGTGAGGTGGAAGCCTGGAAGAGTAGGAGGCGGGAAGTGTCGGGGAATGGATTTTTTTTTTCGGAGTTTTTCGTGAGAACTGACAGTCTAGAAGACTGGAAACCGGCGTTTTTGGCTCGACGCTTTTAGCCGCGTCTATAAGAGTGTGTAATTATTCACGAGCTATTAAAAAATTTAAGGAATCATTGATGTCACTGGTTGGAGCTTTTTTTCTCTCCACATTATTCCGTCTATCAGTCTTTTTGCTTGTTGGTTTCAGTCAGCCCAAACCAGTCAGCCAACAGTGTTTTCCTCTCACAAAAAACCAGCACCAGCCAGCCCAAACCAGCACCAGCACCAGCCAGCGAACAGGCCCTATAATGAGTGGTAACAATGTCAAATGCAGCTATGAAAAAAATTAAATACCCATAAACTAGAGAAGTAAGCTGAAGTTTCATTTTCCTCCTGTGCCATGGTGCCAAACAGACAATAGAGGAGGAGAGCATTTTCGGTCGGACGAGGAGCGTCGTGACTATCATCCTCGAAAGCAAATAAGGCTGACAATAAATTGAAGCTAAGGGACAAAAATGAGAAATACATCACAATATTCTTTTCAGTGTTTACTTAAATAGTGTTAGCAGGAAGATAGCTAGTAACCAAAATGCATAAGCAGTCACGTATTTGCCCTATAAAGAAAAGAGGTAGGATGCATGAACTAATCGCCTACATACGTGAGTTGTGCTAGAAGAAACAGGCTAGCAAGTTGCATGTGTATATCATGTACGTATATATAGGTATGCAACAAGCTAATAGAAGTATCTACACGTATATGCAAGTAGCAGCAGTAAGCTTCTTCAGTCACCAGGAAGGCGTACGTGCACCTGTGCAAGCCGGACGGCCGGCCGTAGAGACGACGCGTTCGTCAACAACTTCATCATCAATGCAACAACTACTTAAATTAAAAAATGCAACAGCTCCTTCGTCCATAACGCCCGAAGCATCCATGGTCATCGAACGCGTCGCGTTATGGGACGAAAAGGAGCCGAGTCCACGGCGACCAAAGCTGCATCTGGAGGGCAGCTAGCACTGCACAGGACGACGAGACGGGGCACTGACCGGCACCGCGCCACCCGCTATGAGGTACGGTGCGGCAGTCATGTGAGTGCCGAGTACGTGAGTGCCGAGTACGTGAAACCAGCATCCATGGCGCCCAAGAGATCGAAGTCGCCGGCCAAAAGCAGCACCAGCGGCGGCATATGTGCGCGTAGTGGCGGTGGAGCAGCCGAGGCTGCGCAGCGTGCAGAAGCGGTCGTGGGGCTTCTGCTCTCTGCATCCTTGCAGATGGTGCGCCGCCCTGTCGGCGACTCTAGTATCAGTGCATCACCACCCCAATGAACGCGATCCAAACCTTGGACACACGCCTACTCGATGACGACGCCGGCGGCGGAGGCTAACGATGGGGGTAGGGAAGGGTGTCCATGGCAAATTGTCACCGAGGACATCGCACGTTCTACCGGAGCGCCCGCAGAACTGCTGCGACTGCGCCATGAAGTCGAATCCGCGCGTGCGCCAGGTGCTGTCATCGCGAACGCAGAAGCTGGGGCTAATCCTCTCAGCAAAGGCACCGCGCGCGGCCACGAAGGTCCTGTGGCACCATGGTAAAGGCATTCTCCTAGCAGAGCATGGCGTCAGAGCCGAGGACGACACAGGCGCGAGCGCCTCCCCGTTGCGAGGTACGGTGCGGCAGTCATGGAAGTCGGTGTCGACGCGGGAGCTGGTGTCCGGTGAAGCCGTGGAAGAAGATGACCTTGAAGCCACGCGCCCGCACCGCCCTACGCAACTCGGCTGCTGGTCGCCCGCTACAGAGGAGCCGCTAGTCTATTGTAGGGTGAGATGGTGGACTAGAGGGGTGGGTGAATAGTCCTTTCTAAAAATAAACATGTCGGCTAACTAAAATAAATGCGGAATAAAAGCTAACGGTCTAGCCAAGACTACGTTCCTCTATCTAAGTTCACAAGCACCTTATAAAGATCCTGACTGGACAACAAAGGTGACGGATTAGTTAGAGCTCACCTAACCAATTCTAGAAGCAATGGTCACACCAACCTATGCCACTAGTATTTCAAGCAACGGACGAGCTCCTACACATGCTAGTAAGCAAAAGCACAAAGCTACCTAAGCTCACTAGAAATGCTCAATAATAAGGCTACATAAGTTAAATTAGAGAGCGCAAATTACTTAACTATACAAACTAAACAATGTGACTAATAAGGTTACTAAAACCAAACTAGCCACGCAAGAAAGCTAGTTCTATGCTATACAAGCAAGAAGGTCATTAGTAAGCTACACAAGCTAACTAATTACAAGAGCAACTACACAAGCACAAAGTATATAAAAGTAACTACGAGCATGTGAAAGGGAATGCAAACCAATAGGATGACACGATGATTTTTATCCCGAGGATCACGTGTTTGCGAACACGCTAGTCCCCATTGAGACAAGCTCCAAGGTTGCCGCCGGTCCTCTTGCTAGTGGTGACCCGCAAGTCACACTCTCTTCTTCTTCTCGAGCTTCTCTATGTTAGGGCATTGATCATGAAGATGACCCACTTTATGGCATCGATAGCATATGAAATGAGAAAGCTTCTCTCATGCTTCCTTCTTCATCTTATTTTCTTTTTTTCTTTCGCCCTTTGTCATCTTCTTGTTGAAGCCAAGACCACTCTTGTCACCGAAGTTTCTTTAAATCTTCAACATATGCTCAAAGGTGACTTTTGAGTTGTAGACCTCTCTAGTTTGTTGCTCAATTTCTTCACTTCTCTTTTGAGCTCATTGTTCTCCTTCAAAAAATTAGTTTCACAAGACATAGAGGTAGGACAGGCATCTATATGTGAAGAACATGGCATATCTAATAAATCATCACAAAAGGTGGATGCATGCTTCTTCCCTACATCACAAGAGTTAGTCACATGTTGCAATTGATCACTTGACTCATGTGATGAGCTCTTATTATTTTTAAGTTTCTTTGAAAAAGCTTTAATGAGAGAAGCATGTTATTCTAATAATTTTTTATGAGATACAAAAAGCTTCACATGAGTCAATTTTAGCTTATCATGTGAAGATTTAAGAACATCAAGTAAGTACTTATTATCTTCACATGAATTCTTTAGAAATGAGTTTTATTTTTCCAATTTCGTTGTTTTAGCTTTCTCATTTTCTAAAGACATGGTCATGCTAGCAAGTCCACTAACAAGCTCATCATATGAATCAACATGATCAACCACATTAGCATTTGATACCTTGGTGTCACCTTGTGACATGAAGCAATGTGGTGTAGTGGATGGGCTTGTAGTAGCATCATATTCATGTCCCGAGCATCAACCATCATCACCAAGTGTGCTTGAGGTAGAATCATCATGTGCATCACTTGTGGCATCATTATCTATCTTGTCAAGTGAACTTGAGGTAGAATCACCATCACTTAACCATGAGGTGGAGCACTCTTCCACAATCACCAAATTATGGTCATGCTCGACACACTCTTGCATCACCTCCTTGGACTCCTTGAACTTGCCATCATCCCAAGTGGAGGAATCACCGAAGGTGTGCTTGATTGATTCCCATATCTCACGAGCGGTTCCCATGTAGTTTATCTTTTTCATCAAACCAAAGCTCGAAGCATCCATTAGATAACAACAAGCATGCGCATCAAGTTTAAAGATAACTCTTTGAGCTTTGGTGAGATTTATATGGTCCAAAACATGAGTGAGACCACTAGTAATAATCCACTAAAACTTAGGTCCCTTTGCACGAAAATGATCAAGCATGTGATTTTTTCAATGTGCAAAGTTTATGCCATAAAAATGTGTGTCTCATAATCATCTACCCCACTAGACGCCGTCCTCTTAGGTCGGTGAAGATCACAAATGAGATACCATGCTCTGATACCACTTGTAGGGTCGAGATGACGGACTAGAGGGGAGTGAATAGTCCTTAATAAAAATAAACGCGTCGGCTAACCAAGATAAATGCGGAATAAAAACTAACGGTCTAGCCAAGACTACACCCCTTTATCTAAGTTCCTAAGCACCTTATAAAGATCCTAACTAGGCAACAAAGGTGCCGGGCTAGCTAGAGCTCACCTAACCAATTCTAGGAGCAAGGTCATATAAACCTATGCCACTAGTACTTCAAGCAACGGAGGAGCTCCTACACATGCTAGTAAGCAAAAGCACAAAGTCATTTAAGCTCACTAGCAATGCTCAATAACAAGGCTACAGAAGTCATAAATTACTCAGCTACATAAACTAAGCAATGTTACTAACAAGGTTACTAAAACCAAATTAGCCACGTAAGGGAGCTACTTCTATGCTACACAAGCAAGAAGGTAATTAGTAAGCTACACAAGCTAACTAATTACAAGAGCAACTATATAAGCACAAAGTATATGAAACTATGAGCTTGTGAAAGGGAATGCAAACCAACGGGATGACAAGGATGACATGATGATTTTTATCTCGAGGATCATGTATTTGCGAACACGCTAGTCCCCGTTGAGACAAGCTCCAAGGTTGCCGCCGGTCCTCTTGCTAGTCGTGACCCGCAAGTCACACTCTCCCACTTAGAGTGCTTACCACAAGCGCTAGCACTTGACTCAGCTAGACCACTTGTCGCCCTTCGTGTCTCGCTCTACTAGAGTTGCTCTTCGCGGCTCCCGCGGGGTGAGCACAATACCCCTCACAATCTTCTCCGGAGCACCACACAAACTTCCTTCCATGCTTCGACGGAGATCACACCACTAAGCCATCTAGGAGGTGGCAAACTCCAAGAGTAACAAGCACCACCAGCTTACAACACGAACACTTAGTGTCACTCGATGCAATCTCGCAATGCAACGCACTAAAAATCACTCACTCACACAATCAGATGATCACTATCAAGCATATCTGAGTTAGAGGGCTCCCAATG